CACATACGCTGCGCCAAAGGAGTGCCAAAAAGCCGCCACTATAGTGGCAAGGGCAGCTTTTTGCCGCTCTAAAAAGGAACGGCATTTGCTAGCTCTTTTTAGAGCAGCAAAGCACCGGATTGGGGCCGCAGCATGCAGTTGCCGTGGCCCCAATCCGGCAAGGAAAGGGATGGCAGGGCAAAACCCCTTGGGGCCGTCTGCTCAGCCCCTAGGTCCCTCAGCACAACATCTGGCAAACACTGGCCACAGAGTTGCACTGGAAGACCTCAAGATTCCTAGCGAGAACATATTAATAAAATCTGTGAATAAGCAAATCCGCAAAAATCAGAGAAGCAAATGTGGAGGGCTGACTACAGAAGCTCATCCCAATTCTGGACCACCCCACGAAAATGGCAGCTCGCAAATATTCGAGCCCCATTGAAAATAACTGCACGTGTGCCCATGGCGTGCACCACCATTATATCTCCCGCAAAGAGTGGGACTATGGACTTGAAGTCCGTGAATGGAGAGGGACAACTGTATATTTATTTGTACTGATGAGGAAGCAGCCTGAGGCTGATACACTGGCTGCTCTCTTCTTATTCTTTAAAGAAGCATTTTCCCCTAACTCAGCTTCTTAGAAGGAGCCAATACACAATTACACTTGTATGGTGTCATTGAAGTTGACAGGACTGTTCTCTCCCCCTGAATCCCTCTCTTTTATGGTTCTTATTTGCTTCCACCATTAAACAGCATTGTCTGCTGGGGGGAAAAACAGCGGCAACAGTTTTTTCTCCCACTGTCTGTGTCTTGTCTTTCTTTCTCAGGCCTTGACACAGGATCACATGCTTCCCTCTCAGGACTTGTGCTGTAAAAGTGCAAAGGGAGCAGACTTTTTTCCTTTGTGAATCATACCTTTGACAAGAGAAGGGAAAAGGGGAACTAAACATATTCAACAAATCCTTTCTTAAACTCCTTGACAAATGTGATTGTACACCCACCCACTGCATTTCTGCTGACCTAAAGATAATGAACCTAACTGTTCATTTATGATAAGGAATATATTTGAACCTTGTAAGGCTGCTGCCGCATTGCAGTTTTAATACCGCTTTAACTGTCATAGCAAAGCAAAGCAGCTTATTTATATACCACTTCATATCACGCTATGGGATGTCTAAGCGGTTTACAAATGTGAGCTGATTGCCCCCCAACAAGCTGGGTACTCATGGCTCCATCCTATGTAATCCTGGGATTTGTAGCTTGTTGTGGCACCAGAGAGCTCTGAGACAGAAGGGTAAATATCTCACAAAACTATAAATCCCACAGTCCCACAGCATTGAGCCATGGTATTCGAAGCACTGTCAAACTGCATTAATTTTGCAGTGTAGATGCAGCCTAAGAGGAAAAGATGGAGCAAAACCAAGACTGGACATTTACATCACTGCAACTTCTTTATTATAGCCATGATTCTGTGTCAGCAACATGTCACCAAACTCTTGTAGTGATTCCCAAACTCTGGCCTTCCTAACTTCCCTAAGACAAGAGTGGTTTGGATAGAAAACTGTTGGTCTAGTTTTGCCTCAGCCAGCACTTGGGACTACCGGTATGTTCCAAGAAACTAAAAGTCACCACTTTTTGGACTAACGAGAAAGTAAAACATTTTTGTGTAAAAAATATGAAACTTTTAGAAGCATACAAGTATGAGATATCAACAGCTGCAGCAAATGGATTTTAGTTCACGGGTTCTTTCTCTGTCTCACACACACACACATATAAGGATAGGATGTAGCTTCATACAGAGAATAAGATGTAGCTTCGGACGGAGCATCAGGTGGGAATATGGAACAGTTATAATGAAGTTCCTTATTTTATCAACCAGATGATAAAAAGTAATCTTCATAAGGAAACAGCTACACACATTGCACAGATGACAATGTTTTATTGAAATGTTTTTTATTACTGCAGATATGAAGTAATAGGAAAAAGAAAGCTATAACAGGCACTGTTAATTGTCTGGTAATGATTGCAGTTATCAGCATATGAAGGTTACACATACTGAAATTATATTATTGACTTCTCTTGCATCATTCATTAACTTGCCAAGATGATATAAAGGAATTTCCATTTCAGAAACACCATTGTTACTCAAGAGCACCAAATTTCCTGTAACAACATGCTTTCTAAGGACACTGATTTCAATGGCATGAATCCGACTGTTAGTCCCAAACAGCATAGACCCCATTAAAGCAATGGGATTTACACATGTGTTAACTATCATGCTAAAACTGATTCACTCTACTCTAGTGTTCCAGCAATTGGATTTTAGATTATTATTTATCTTCAAATGTTACTCAAGTTTGTCAGGTTATCTCGAGCCAGTTATTATATCTGAGCCTAACGGACCTCACAGGATTATTGTGACAATAAAATTGTGTGTCTGATATAGGTGGATGTGATATAGGGTAAGAACTATTCACACTACCCTGGGCTTCTTGAGGTTGGGGAAATGTAAAATGTAATAAACAAATGTAATAAAAATTATATAAAATGTAATAAAATATGTTTGGTCTTTTGTCATTCCAAAATGGAAAGAAGAGTCAACTTTCACTGATTGTTCACTGAATGCTATTTACAAGATGGTCCATATGACTCTAAAAACACAGGCAGATTTTAATGAGGGATGTCAACAAATCATATTTTGAAAGTGCTTTAAATGTCTGGGTTCAAACTTATTAAATCCAAAGGAGATGTCCCAGTGGCTGGTTCCAATGGACTAAAGCAGGTGGAAACAAACTGTGTCTAATAAAGCAATTTTCAGCCCTTGGAAGCATTATGCAAAATTGCTAACTCCCCAAAGTGCTATAGAAGGCTTGTTTTTACTGCCTGCAACAGACTATTTCACTTACCTCTCTGCATGTTGGAGCTTTTGGTACTATATGAATGTGGCAGTGAATTCCCCCTCTGAACAAATCTTGCCAAGAAAACCCTGTGATAGGGCAACCATAAATCAGAAACAACTTGAAGGCACATTAGGACAAGAACAATTATCCTTTAAAGAATGTTGTTTTTTAAAAAAATATTCTAAAATAAAGGTGTCACTTAAGCAATAATAAATTCAGTTGGAAAAGTCAATACATGGTGGCCTGGGCACAGATGTTACTACATTTTATGGTTTTGGTGTGTTCTTATAAAAGCTGTGAATGCTATTACTTCTGAAATGTCCCACATCTTGACTGTCTAGTTGTTGTTGTTTTCATTTCTGGGATTTGGGGTCCTTTCTAGGAACTTTCCTATACCAATTAAAGCAGGTATCATATATATAACTTAACAATTTACTTTATGTTCCTTGTGCATTTTGTCTTTAGTATAAGATTACTGCACATCTCATAAATTCTCTTTGATGGAACACAGGAAATCTACCAACACTGCTGAGTTACAGCAGTTTGATAACGCTTCAAATGTCATGATTCTATCAAATGGAGTCCTGGGAATTGCAGTTCCACTGTCTTTAACTACAGTACTAGAGATAGCTGACAGAGAATTCAAAGGACCTACCCAAACAATACCTCAGGACAGTTAATGTGAGATTGAACTGCTATAATGGTATACGCAAAGGGATCTTGTAGTACCTTTGAGACTCACTAAATGAAAGAAGCTGGCATCATGTGCTTTTGTAGACTTGAGCCTACTTTCTCAGCTGAGAAAGTAGACTAAAGCCTACAAAAGCTTATGCTACTGTAAGGGAACCAACACCTTCTTCCTTTCAGTTAGGACGTTATCACACGGGGCCTAA